CTGGAGATCGACAGCAGAAGGAAGGAAAACTAGAATATCCACACATAAGTGGAAATGATACAACACACTCTTTAACAACCAATGAGTCAAAAAAGAAATCACAAAGAAAATTAGCAAATATCTTGAGACAAAGGAAAAGGAAAATACAACATGCCAAAACTCATGAGATGCTAATGAAAAAACTCATATCTCTAAGTAGAGAGTAGAAGAATGGTTACCAGAGTCTGGGAAGGGAAGGGTAACAGGTGGTGGAGGGGATGGCAGTAAAGGGAAAGAGGCAGATTGATGGGTACAAAGTTACAGGTAGATAGGAAGAACAAGTTCTGATGTTCTAGACTGAGTATAGCTTATTATATTATACTGCATATTTCTAAATGCCTACTAGATAAGATGATCCTGAATGTAATTATCACAAAAGCAGACAAATGTTTAGGTGATGGATATCCTGTCTACCCTAAGTGAATCACTGTACAATGTAGTGTATGTATGTACTGAAACAACACACTGTATTCTATGAATATGTAGAGGTAAAATTTCAAAAATAAAAGAAATTTTAAAAAATTAAATATTTAAAACATTCATGACTCTAAATGCTTACATTGAAATAGAAAAAGGCATCAAATCAAGAACCTAACATTATACCCCAATAAAGAAACAAACAAAAAAAAACTCTTCCAAAAGACTGAGAAGGAGGGAAGATTCATTCAGTGAAGGCTGAAGTGATCCTGACAGCAAAGCCAGGTGATGGAGTTTGGATGTGTTGTCCCCTCCAAAACTCATGCGGAAATTTGATCCCGAATGTGGCAATGCTGGAAACTGATTGGGTCATGGGGGCAGATCCCCGATGAGTGGATTAATGGTCTCCTTGGGAGAGGGGATTAATAAGTAAGTTCTCACTCTATTAGTTCCTGCAAGAGCTGGTTGTTTAATAGACCCTGGCACTGCCCCCCGCCCCCGCTTCCTCTCACCATGTGATCTGCTTGTACCTGCCAGCTGCCTGCTGCTTTCTGCCATGAGTAAAAGGAGCCTGAGGCCTGTGCCAGATGCAGCTGTCCCAGAGTTGCAAGCCAAATAAACCTCTGTTCTTTATAAATTACCCAGTTTCAGGTATTTCTGTTATAGCAACACAAAACGGACTAATATACCAGGCAAGGACGCTACAAGAGGCTGGACTGAAGGTAGTGAGTTACCCCAACTGATAATTCACAATCAGCTTTCTTCTACTCCTTCTTCTTCTCACTACTGCCCTTTACTATTCTTTTAATAATAAGAGTAAGACACTACAAGAAAACTATAGACCAACATCCCTGAAAAATCACAGAGAAAATTCTCAAAAAAAACCCAAAAGAAAACCTACCTAATTAAAGTGGACTGCATATTGAAAGGATCATATACTGTGTCCATGTGACGCTAATTCCTGGAACGCAAGGAAGATGCAACACACAAATATCAATCCATGTATTAATCCACATTAAAAGAATGAAACCACATGATCTTCTCACTGGTTGCAGCAAAATCATCTTTAAAAAGTCAACACAATTTCAAGAGAAAAACACACAACACACTAAGAATACAATCTAACTCAATATAATAAAGGCCATATGAGAAAAGCCCACAGCTAATATCATGCTCAATGCTGAATGCCTGAAAGCATTTCCTTTAATATTAAAAAAAGACCAGAAAGCCCATGTTTGTTACTTCTGTTAAGTATAATGTGGGATTCCTAGCAACAGCAATTGAACAAAAAAAAAAAGAAAGAAAGAAAAGGCATGCACTAGAAAGAGAGAAGTAAAATTATCTCTGTTCACACAGACATAATCTTCGCTTATTTTTTTTTTTTGATAGCTGGCCAGTATGGGGATCTGAACCCTTGACATTGGGGTTATAACACTGAGTTCTAACCAACTGAGCTAACTGGCCAGCCCTGAATATAATCTTATATGTACAAGATCCTTAAAGATACCACAGAAAAAAATCTTTTAGAATTAATGAAGGAATTCAGTCAAGTTCCTGGACATTAAAGCTTTACAGAAAAATCAGTTGCATTCATAAACACTAACAAAGAATGATGTAAGAATAAAATTTAAGGGCTGACCCCGTGGCTCACTCGGGAGAGTGCGGCGCTGGGAGTGCAGTGGTGCTGAGGCCAAGGGCTCGGATCCTATATAGGGATGGCCAGTGTGCTCACTGGCTGAGCGCAGTGTGGGCGACACCAAGCCAAGAGTTATGATCCCTTTACCGGTCACAAAAAAAAAAAAGAATAAAATTTAAAAAAACAAATCCATTCACAATGTCATTGAAAAAAATTAAATACTTTATAGCTTAAAAATAAGGAGAAAGATGTGTACAATGAACACTACAGAACATTGCTGACAGAAAAGTATGAGCTCCCTCTATAAGATGTGTCAAAAAGAGGGGCCGGCCTGTGACTCACTCGGGAGAGTGTGGTGCTGATAACACCAAGGCCACGGGTTCGGATCCCATATAGGGATGGCCGGTTCGCTCACTGGCTGAGCGTGGTGCTGACAACACCAAGTCAAGGGTTAAGATCCCCTTACCGGTCATCTTTAAAAAAAAAAAAAAGATGTGTCAAAAAGATATTTGTTGTAGCTTTCAACCTACAACAAATTGAACACATTTGAAGAAAGGTTTGTTGTTCGACAAAGGTTTAACAAAGGTTTGTTGATGAGAAAAAAAATGACAAACACAGAAAAGAAAATGAAGCATGAACAATAGTTTAGTCAAGAGCCTCACGCATGGGAGGTTCTGAATTTGATCAAAGTTTTCCATTGATTGTTGGCTTAAAGGAGATAATCACAAGTATAAGTGTTCTACATTGTCACAGAGCCCTTGACAGACACTTCTGTGACACTGTTGAAAAAGCAGAACAACAGGAAACCCTTATCAGTTAGGCTCTTCTGATACTTTCTAGTCAAGTATCCTGGGGCATGCATCAACTCCACTCAGTGGCTTCGGGGGCATCTCTGTATGTAGCAGGATGATACTTAAACAAACTAGTTAATATGTTCTTCAAAAATTTTCTATTATCATGTAAACCCATTCCATAGTGGAAAGCATAGAACTTACCTATAATGTAAAGGTGGGTTATCACAGCAGGAAAAAAGGATGACATGTCTGACTCTACCACTGTGTATATCAAAAGCAAGTTTCAGAGGCAAAATCTAGCAAATTTAAGAGAATATGAAGTCAGAAAAAGCAAGGCTTTTTACATTCACAAAATAGCAAGAGTAGTGCAAGAGAGAGAAAAATATGACATATGAGGGTCAGATTTTGTAGCCTCTTCAGATGGGACTCTGTGCTCTCCCATAGACCTCAGGCAAAGACCATGAAAGACCAAGCTTTGCTTCTAATGTAGGACTGGGGATCAAAGAGATGACCTTTCTATGTACTCTTTCACAATTTTTCTTCTTTATTTATTTTGCTTTCATAATTTTGCTGAGTAATAATAATCTCAGAAGATCCAACCCACTGCCCTGTTATACACACCTGAGAAGTATGGCAAAAACATAGTGGAAGGAAAAGCCTGTGAAACTTCAGGAGGCAGCGAGGACTTGAGACAGCTCCCTGCAGTTTCTGGGGCCCCAGACAGAAAAAAAGAGAGCCCAGTGTTTCCCATCTTCTGACTATGTCTTCCAAACACAGAAGATAGGATGAGACCAAGAAAGATACAGGTGTCAGGACTACAGATGCCCCAGCTCTGAACTATATGAAAAGGAAACAGAGTATCAGATACAATCAAACACAGAAGGAAAGACCAAGGGAGAAGAAGACCCTTGTGAAATGGACCTACCCATGCCCTTCAGAGTGAAGGAAACAGAGAGTACACAGAAGCCAGATGACAGAGTGTTGTTCATCATAAAAAGGGCTTTGCATTTGTTTCCGTATGAGCTGCAGCACCACCATAAGGTGAAAGGATAAACTATTACACTTCTGAGGAACAGAGTGATAAGTAGAGAAAAAGAGAAATTTCCTTTCAGAGCTCATAGGTCATAGACTTTTGTTTTCTCACAGACCTCTCCCTCTTGCAGAATTTCCCAAACACTTTAATGATGTGGCTTCCTCTCTGCCCATCTGAGCTCTCACCTGTGTTCACACCTTTGATCCATTCCCACCCATTGGGTTTTGTTGCTATCATCACTTGGCTCTCCACAGTCCAGGGCTCTTTCCCTTGCTCCAACATAGAGATGAGACTCAGGTCAAAATGAGAGATTCCTGCTTAAAACAGAAAGAAATATATAGTGCTGTGACTTTCTACAATCCCAACCTTATGTTTACCTGAGAGAGGACATTACATATGAATCTAGAAAAACATTTTAGAACCTCATCCACTGATCTTCTTTTGAATGCTTAAGAAACACTGTAATATGCAGGTATCTAGGTCTCTTCCAGGAAGCACTGAATCAGAAGCTCAGGGGTAGAAAAAAATGATATTTCAAAAGTCTGCTAGAAGGTTTTCTAAATACTTCAGCTATGGAAGTACCACTCACGTATCAAGAAGGGTGCAGAACACCTGAAAAATGAGGAAGGCTAAAGTCTAGATGCCACATTTCAGAGTCAACAAGGCTTCAATCCCAATGGAGCAATGTAGGGATTCCGAAGAGGCACAAGAGGGAAAATGTAAAGATACACAAGGGCAAATTCCCAAATTCTGGAGGGACATTATCCTCACCCAGGGAGAACAGGTTCCTGTAGTTCTCCAACATCACGTCCCTGTACAAAGTCCGCTGAGCAGGGTCCAGGCATTTCCACTCCTCCTGAGAGAATTCTATGGCCACATCCCTGAAAGTCAAGCCTCCCTAAAATAAAAAATGCATTTTACCAAGGGATTATAGAAACAGGTATCATCTTCACACAAAAGTAGAAGAGAATTGTAAGAGTGATTTAACTTAAGTGAGTTTTCTGACAGATGCACATTAAGGTACTTTTGAGCAAGTTACCTCTTCCTAATTGCATTTTATTAAACTTTTCCATAAGAGGTAACGATATCCTCTAAATCAATGAGGGTTTTTCACTTAGGAAAACAATGCAAGAAGTATACAAATAGAGAGTTGACACAGGGTTTTCTCTTTAGAAGTGTTAGGTATTGTGTGTGATACACCAAGTCATACTCAGTATCTAGACGAGCTAGAGTATGAGTGGTGTCTTCAGAGACAACAAATTCCACTGTGGCTTTAAAGAAAGGAAGACAGAATCTAAACAGCATGATGATAATAGCAAAAGCAATGACTAAAGCTTGGCAACACTTTCCATGAGCTAAGCACTATATTCTAAATGCTGTACATGCAAACCCATGTTCATCACAGCATTAACCACAACAGCCAAGATATGTAAGCAACCAAAATGTCTATCCACAGGTGGTGGATTAAAAAAAGGTAATATTTACAAAGAAATATTATTCACTCTTAAAATGAAGAAAATCCTGTTACACGGTGTAATGTTGATAAACCTGGTGGACATTAGCAAAGGGAATAAGCCAGTCACAAAAGGGCATATATAGTGTTATTCCACTCATATGAACTACCTACAGTAGTCAAAATCATAGAAATGGAAAAGAGAAAGATGGTTGACAAAGGCTGTGGGGAAGGGAGAGGGGAAATAGTGCTTAGTAGATATGCACTTTCAGTTTTACAAGATGAAAAAGTTCCAGAAATTTGCTGTGCAATAATATGAATATACTCAATACTGCTTAACTGCAAAACAAAACAAAACAAAATTTTACTGCAAGACATAACAAAGACATGATCAAGACTGAGAAACCCAATTCTTATTGGAAAACATGGTCACATAAGACCTGTGTACAAATTCAATCAAAAGCCAATCAAACACAAAAGAAATACGTGGGATTTTAATAAAATCTGCTTATGTTGTGTTGAAGGAGAGCCAATATAATTTTGAACAGAAAAAGGAAATGGAGGAGTTTGCCAAACTACATATAAACCTAAAACTTTAAAATGAATAAAATGATATCCTACAAGATATCATATCAATCCAAATTTCATTAGACAATAATAGTTCATTACATGCAAATGAAACAAAATATTTTGTAATCATGCACTAAGGGAGGTCTTCTAAAACAAGATAAAACAAAGATACAAAAAAAAGAGGACATGAAAGAAGAAAGATTTCTGTCATAGGCTAAAAAAATGTATAACTTAAAAAAAGACCTGGGTTATATATAAAGAATTAAGCTACAAAGTACAAAACAGCTCTTAAAATACATGAAAGGAAAATTGAACAAAGTATGAAAATCCATTTTATATATAGACATACACACATCTATATTTCCATCCATAAATTTCTAAGACCTACACAAACTCCTAAGAAATTAGAAAATTGAAATACTGTGTGAGGAGGGAGTTAAACTATAATGCCCTCTGAATGGGAGGGTACTTTGAGACCAAAGGAAGCAGGCAAGCCCATATGGTATATAAAGATACTTATCACTGGGGAACTTACATACAGGAAAAGTCACATGCAGCAAAGAATCAGACATCAACAGATGAGAGATCTAGCTCTTTGGATTTAGGCAAAATTCATATCGCAAAGCTCTGTTACTAAAAATAACTTCAAGTAAAAAAGTTAAGAAAAATAAGTTGATAACATCATTCACCAGGTGTCTTGTGATCCATGAGGCAGGGGGTCTTGTGATATTGGTGCTCAGACCATTGACACCACCTGCTGTAATAAATCATTCACTCCCTGAAACCTATGTTCTCTTTATGCTTGCCCTATGGTTAATGTAGGATAAGTCTGAAGCAAAGAGTTTAAACAGAAGTCAACATGGCAGGTGGGACATAAGATGGCATTAGTCCTGTTCATCCTCTAATACAGAGGATTGTTATTTTCACAAGATAATCAAAGTATAAAAAGAATGTAGTATCAAGTTTTCCTAAAATGAATGGGAAATCTCACACTGTGTTGGTTGGAGAGAGCACCTCTGTAGCTGGGGGCAGAGGGAAAATCTAGCCAAATACAAAATGTGCTGTCCTTGAAGAAGGATGCCCAACCTGGAGGAATCCTCATATATATACACAGAATTGCCCCAACTGGAGGAACCCTCAGACATCTGTACAGAAGTCCACATGCTCAGAGACAGCCACCATAGCATTCTTAAACTATGAAAAATTATAAAAGACCCACATCTTCATTCAGAGAATGCTCTAACAAGGATGCAAAAGAGCAAAATATCATTGTTTCCTAATATGAAAACACTTAAAATTTCAAAACCTGCAAAATAAAACATTGCAACAAAACATTCACTGAAGAATTTTTTCTAAAATTTCATAATGATGTGTAAATACACTCATACAGACACTTGCTGACCCTTTCCACAGAACTGACAATGACAATTCTCCACTGAGATGTGAGTGAGAGTGGATGATTGAAAGGAAAGGGGATGCTTTACATCTTACGATTTATGTTTGTTTGAAGTTTTCCTATTAAACAAATATATACATCATGTGATGTTTATATGTATATAAAACATTTACTAACAAGAGGTAGAAGGATAATATGGCTCCATCCTCTCTAATGACAAAGAAGTTCTGCTCTGATGTCTGAGAAAAATTTTAATCATTTCACCTTAAACACCTGCTGCAAAAGGGTCCCTGCAGGAACACCACTCTCCATGGGATGAAGTGCTGAGAATGGTTTAAGGAATCTCCTGCTGTTAGATATTTATATTGAATGCATATATTAAAATCAATAATAAAATATACATCCTCTATCGCTGATGTCTGTGATGTCACAGAGAGTTTGGAGACAGAGATATACAGGCTCATTAGTTTAACTTCAAATATATTACAAAATCAGGCACAAAAGATTTCCCTTTATTGGTTTACTTTGGCAGAATTTACCAGATATTTGTACACATGAATACATGACTTCCAATATGAGCTCCTCTAATCCTGGTCTATAGAGAGGTGACAGTGCATCCAGATATGGGCACTAAACACTCCCTCCTGCCAAAGAGCACTGACACCATGGGGCCCACACTCTGTCTCCAATCTACTTCCAGGAGGGAAGCCCCTCCCAGGACATGCGCAGCAGAGCCTCTTCACAAGTTCGTGTTACAGGGTGTTACAGGGTGGAGGTGAGATGGAATCTATGTGGAGATGAGAGGGACAGAGGGAAGGCATGGGTGAGTGCGAGCAAACATCACAGGCAGGACACTTCAGTCAGAGATTAGCAGCTCCAATGCCCACACGTCAGAAAGGAAGGACACAGAACAATCAACCAATAATATCACTTTACCTGAGTAAGAGCCATGCCTGACTCCTTTCCTTTCCTCTTCCTCCTCTTCCAGGCTTCTTCTTCACGTAACATGATCTTTACAAGTCAAACCTGAATGTCAAAAATTTGTTGGTTAATGCTCAGATACAACACCTTCCCTTCCTGTGCCACAACCACACACACAGGGAAGACCTCACCATGTGGAAAAACCATCCTCTGCTGCTCACCGCACCAGGGGGGATGCAGGGACAATAAAATGCTAGAGAAAGAAAACGTGAGTTTTTGACCCCATTCTTCACAACTCTCACCTGTCTTGGTGATGCCCAAAAACATGCCGCAGCAGTGGGGAGCTGGGCTGGAATGAGCACCCCTTCAGGACACAGACCTGGCCCTAACCCAACACGATGCAGAGCACAGCCCCCTCATATCTCCCTAAATCACAGGATGATCCCAGTCCTCAGATACGGAGGACACAGACCTTGATGTTCAAAGCTGGATACGGATTAGAAAATCACCTGAGAAACAGTAAATACTATTTAGGCTGAGCCACAACCTGTCTATGCAAACAGGAATCTTTCATAAGCGGGCACAAGAGACTTTGCAAAATGCCTCAGCACTCTAATGTGAATGTAGGGTTAGCACCACTCAGAGGAGAAGGCCCAGCAATCTTCCCAGCTTCTGACTCTGTTCTCCCTTTGGGGCCTTGTTGTCACCAGTACCCAGACAGTGAAAAGGGGGTAAAAGGAAATATGCAGAGCAGGCAATATAAACAGAGGTAGGGGTAAGGGTGAGGCTGAAATGGTACTTCCCCCTCTGCTCTCCTTGTCACTCCTTGCTACATCATTCTGTCCCACACCTCGTGGCTCTGCCTGCCATGGCACCAATGCTTTCATCCTCTCCCCCATCTGTTGGAAGGGCCTTGCTCCCTTTCATCTCTCTGGAAATCCAACTCTTCTCTACATTTCTCTATTTTCTTCTCCTGCTGACTCTTTTTCTGATGATTCTTTCTCTCTCAAACTGTCTTGTTGCAAATCCTTCAACCATCCTCTGTTTTGCCAGCTCTTTATGGTTCTTCTTCTTTTCTCTCTCTCGGCTTTTCTGCTTCTCCTAGTCGCTCTCTATCTCCCTTTCTCCCAATTCTCTTTACCAACACATTCAAAAGAAGAGCGATGGGGAAAAGTGGCTGCTTCCCAGAAGAGCACATTTTCCAATGGAGCGGAATTTGGGGCGTAGAACACGGCACGTCACAAACAGGTCAATGTCACCTCCCCCAACACGGAGGAGTGACTGAGAAGGGAAGGCCCGGGGGGCGGAAGAATCTCGCCTGAGAAGAAGGACCACAGATCAGGGAGACAGAAATGGTTTCTCAGGGGCAGGGAGAGGATGCGGCCTCTCTTGGACTGGGGCGCCCGGTGCTCCATCCAGGGGCCGATAAGGGGAAGATTCGGGGTCGTGAAGGACGTGAATCCACCTCTCTGGTGAGAACTTACAACGGCCGTGGGGACTGCCAGGTCCATAAAGGGTTTTAAGTAGGAAAACGAGGAGAAAGGAGGTGTCTACATGACCTGTGAGCAGAATCCCAGAGACAAGCCCAGCTGCAGAGACGTTAACCCAGAGGGGAAACGAACCCCGGGCTCTCACGGCGACGTCTGCATATATTCCTATTTGGGGTGGAGGCGGAGGTGCAGGAATTTTAAGGTCAGCAGTGAACCTAGGCCCCTAGTATGATGAACCGAGGACTGCCAAAATCAGTTTTGAATTACATAGAGAGAAACTCACGCGCCGCGGCGTAATCTTTGCTCCGCGCTCTCCGCTTCCGGGTCTGCAGAGAACCGCGCACGCGCACAGGGAAAAGACTGGACGGCCAAGGGGCGGGACCTGGGCGGGGCGGAGCCGGCAGGGGTGGGGCGTAGAGAGAAGCCCGGCCGCGGCAGGCGCCGGGGAGGGTCCGGGGCCTGTTTCTGCTCCTCCTCGTGTTGTCCGTGATTACAAGCTTTGGAATCATGTTTTTGGGTGTTAGTTTTTGCTTTTTGGTGTTTTAAATTATGCAACAAGTTTTATTTAGCATCGTCAATCCCGACATCTAGCACAAAAAATGTAGAGAGGTTAGAAAGTGCATTAAAAAACAGTCTTGAGGCTGGCCGATTATCTCAGTTGACTAGAGTGCCATCTTATAACATCAAGGTCAAGGGTTCAGATCCTTTGGCCTGTCAAGCCGCCAAAAAGAAAAAAAAAAAAAGTCCAGTCTTTACCGAAAGAAAGCAGGAAATATATTATTAATTCAAAATATTTTACGCTTGAATGATAAACTGCAATAATTTATTTTGGGCATCTACTGGTAAGAGAAAGGAGAGAAGAAAGGACGCTTAGAAGAGTTAAACATCCAGCTGGTATCAGAATTCAGTAGCGGTCACTGAGACCAGCGTTCTTGGTTTTTGAATTGGCGCCCTCAGCTGGAACTGTTGGCAGGACAGAGGATGTGCATACTTCAGGAAGGCATCCAGGTCTGTTATTCCCCCCCTCAAGGCGTCTCGCAGGTAAAAGTGTCTTCAAAAGCATTTTCCTCTGCATACAGATTTGTAATGTTTGTATACTGGGGCTGTGGGAATGATAACTTCGTCGATACCATTGTTTTCAGATTGATTTTTCATTTTCTCCAGAGCAGAACTGAGTTTTTGTCTTTTTACAAAAGTTGTATGTTTTTATCAACCTCAGCTACTTCTTCATCTAAATGGGTAACCATTCTCTTCCAGTTTTTGGTGACCTTTTTTCAGGTCTTCCTCTATTCATTTCAAGGCATTGAGCTCTCCGCCTGGGCACACTCCATTTCCTCCTTCATCCGCCACCTCGGTTTGTCACTGCTCAGATGAGACAGGCTTGGGGGGTGTCCTCGCTGATCGTGCCATCCCTACTGGGACCAACAGTGATCACAGGAGTCTGGGAAGGGTACTGGGAACTTGTGGCAGGATATGGACCACCAGGCAGGTAAGGACAGCCTGGGTAACCGCTGGGATTTGTGGGTGTCCGGATGGGTATGCAGAGATTCCACTCAGCATATCTGGCGTGCAGGAAGTATTTGGTGGCCCTGTTGCTTGGTATGGGGGATAGGATGCTGAAACAATAGGATGAGAGAGGACTGGAAGTTTACCTCCAAATACCACAATCATGCCCTGAATAAACCCCAACAACTCTGACTGTGGGCGTTTCCATTCATGTAGATAAGGAGGATATATCTTCCTATTGCGTCAACATGCTTTCCTGTGTTTAGTCATTAAACTCGTAGGCTTAACAAAACAGATAGCAGGATTGTACGGGTATGTGTCCAGCAGCCATAGACATATTGGAATATTATATGTATTACCTCTGTAAGGCACAGGAATTGTTTCAGTAGGCTCATTAGTTCCCCGGAACTGCCATCATTAAAAACATAGGAACCCAACACAGGTTTGAGGTCTCTGTATAGAGTAATAACGTTGACAGTTTCACATACGTTTAGGTCCCTGTATTTGTACTGGGCCATAGTCTTCTACAGCTCCCCAAAACTTCCTCTATAATTAAGGATAACCACTTAATCGAGAAAAAGTCATGAAGACTTAGACACCGTTTTCTTGAGCTGACTCTCAGACACCACCATAACGGCCACCTGGAGACTCCCGTCCTGCAGGCAGAGGGTCAGCCGCTCCTGGACTGCCCAGGCCACCCCACATGATCGCACACCCAGTGGCCTCCCCCGCCATCCTCCCACCATCCTCTCCCACCACTCCCACATCCCCAACCTCTGTCTCTTGGCATTTGGAACCCTTTGAGTCAATTTCACCTCCTGTGGAGCAGCATTGGAAACTGCTTATTTCAAGTTGATGTTTCAAACAGTTTGAAGGTAAAAGCTTAGGGTGTGTGGGCCACTTATACTGGAAACCAAGATGTCCTCCTCATAACAAGTTGAAAATAGTTTATGTGAAAAGCTCTTTTTGCCAGTGGGTTGGAGGGTTAGACACTAGCGAGGCTGAAATTACTCAGAGGTCTGGAAGTGGCATCTCCGTGGTAGTAGATCTGGGGCAGTAATCGGATCCAGGAAAGTTCCTACAAATTAAACTCATTTAAGCATTTTAATTAAAAAGCCTGGAATTGTCTGTGAAGGGAATGCAGACTACAATGCAAAATACCAAACATCCTGGGCAGAATGTGCAGTTGCATCTTGAAGCCCAGCAAATTGTCCTTTCCATTTCTATTTTCCATTCTCCCTGGAAGAAGAATCAGACCTGTGCTCAGTTCCAGAGACTTCCATGGGGTCAACACCTGTGGTCTTGGAGGGAACAGCCAAGACCATTTAACAAAAAGCAAAAAGTGAGAAAAATATAAAGAAAAGGGCAAATGTCTATTTGGAGATTGGATCATTGTATTTATGGGAACACACACACAAAAGTAACAGAAATGTGTAACAAACAAATACTTCTTTAAACTATCATAATTGAAAGGTAACATAGGGACAGTTGTAGACTTCATGTTGACAAAGTATAATCAGTTATAATTTACAATGGAAGATGAGGCTGTAGTTACAAGAGCATGCATTAAGATAGAATAGAGAATGCTACAGACACAAAAGGCCACAAATTGAGTAATACCAGTTATGTAAAATATCTAGAATATGTAAACCTTTAGAAACAGAAAGCAGATTACTGATTGTCAGGGGTTGTGGGAAATGGAGAGTGATTACTGAGTGGATAAAGAATTTACCATCAGGGTGACCGTTTGTTTTGGAATTAGACAGTGGTGATGGTTACACAACATTTTGAATGTGCTAAAGGTAATAATGTTAAATTATATTAGAAACAGAAAGCAGATTACTGATTGTCAGGGGTTGTGGGAAATGGAGAGTGATTACTGAGTGGATAAAGAATTTACCATCAGGGTGACCATTTGTTTTGGAACTAGACAGTGGTGATGGTTACACAACATTTTGAATGTGCTAAAGGTAATAATGTTAAATTATATTTCATGTGAATAATATGTAATATTCCATCTCTGTTGCTTATAACAGAAATACCCAGAACTGGATAATTTATAA